ACATGTTACCCCACTGTTTAACACACCTTTACCCACGTTTTGAGCACTCTTTCCTGGGTTGAAAAGACATGTGCTGTAGCCTGGTTCTCTCCCAGTACAGGGTACTAGTTAATGCCACTATCACCACCACATTTAAACCAGATGAACTGGTAGTTATCCGGGGTGCTGCACAGTCATTTTCAGGCTCCTCTCCACAATTGTCCCCCTAAAATGATTTTAAATCATTATTTTTGCATTTAAATGCATTTATTCTATCATTTATATGGTTCCCCAACACAATGCACATAGTCTGGAGCTCACTGGGGTCCTGCATATAATTTAATCAGGCGTTTTAACACTTTTTCCCATAAAAATGATTTTTAATCACTATCATGGGGCTATGAAAATAAAATTCCGGGTAATGCAGAGCACAAGTGCACCTTTTACTATTTAAATGTATTTGTATTATATATTGTTGGGCTAGAAAGGTGACCTCTCTGGGTGATTTAGTCAGTTTATGGAGCTTAGCCCACAAATCCTGGATGATCCAGGCCAAATTTGGGTGCTCATAGGCGGCCTGCCAGGCGCCCCCACCCGTGGAAAGCAAAGAAAAGTGAAGAAAATGGTTAATTATATCTTAAAATAATCAAAAATGAAGTTTTGAAAAATTGTCAAAAAAATGACAGAGTGCCAACGGGAGAAGGGGCCAAGTGTTTTGCGCTTCGGGCCGATTTTTCCCCTTCTCTACGTTAGTATATGTTGGTAGTGCGTGAGGCCATATGTACAGATATGTACATGGGACATGAAAACAGTGCATCTCATATTGACAAAAATAAACCTCGCTAACCGAGTTTTCTAAATCACTCTAAAAATAAGCCGTTGTCATACACGTGTAGACAACATCTGCAGAATCATAAATGATCATTACATTGGGGTCATTAAACAATTATTTCGCTAAGATAAAAAACATTAAAGTTTTGGATTTTAGTGTAATTAACAAATGTTCCACCAGATGGTGCCACACACACCCATGGGTATATTAGTGTTTAAAGCCGTGGGAAATGTTTTAATTCAACAGGAGAGGGTAATTCAATTGTTACCCAGGGAACAGGGCTGCAAACATGGCTATATGAGTGTTAAAATGCTGTCAAACTGTTTTAATTCAGTCACAATTGTCGTTTTTAGACGGTGTACATTGGACTCAATAAACATACAGAGTTATGGACATAAATGTGTCAGTATAGACGGGATAATGTACATATTAATAATATTTAATTAGTTAAATGTACAATGAGCTAAAAACAGCAGAATCACTGCTGTTAGCAGGGTCTCAGAGACCCAGAGACCCAGAGACCCAGAGACCCAGGGTACAGCACCTCACTGTCTTACCCATAAAACAGGGCTCTGATCAGGGCTAAAGTAATGTTATAAACTGGTGAATCTGTTTAAATGCAGGCAGCAGACTCACTGCTTTTAGCAGGGTCTCACAGAGCCAGAGAGCCAGGGTACAGCACATCGCTGTCTTACCCATAAAAGAGGGCTCTGATCAGGACTAAAGTAATGTTATAAACTGGTGAATCTGTTTAAATGCAGGCAGCAGACTCACTGCTTTTAGCAGGGTCTCACAGAGCCAGAGAGCCAGGGTACAGAACATCGCTGTCTTACCCATAAAACAGGGCTCTGATCAGGGCTAAAGTAATGTTATAAACAGGTGAATCTGTTTAAATGCAGGCAGCAGACTCACTGCTTTTAGCAGGGTCTCACAGAGCCAGAGAGCCATGGTACAGAACATCGCTGTCTTACCCATAAAACAGGGCTCTGATCAGGGCTAAAGTAATGTTATAAACTGGTGAATCTGTTTAAATGCAGGCAGCAGACTCACTGCTTTTAGCAGGGTCTCACAGAGCCAGAGAGCCAGGGTACAGCACATCGCTGTCTTACCCATAAAACAGGGCTCTGATCAGGGCTAAAGTAATGTTATAAACTGGTGAATCTGTTTAAATGCAGGCAGCAGACTCACTGCTTTTAGCAGGGTCTCACAGAGCCAGAGAGCCAGGGTACAGCACATCGCTGTCTTACCCATAAAACAGGGCTCTGATCAGGGCTAAAGTAATGTTATAAACTGGTGAATCTGTTTAAATGCAGGCAGCAGACTCACTGCTTTTAGCAGGGTCTCACAGAGCCAGAGAGCCAGGGTACAGCACATCGCTGTCTTACCCATAAAAGAGAGCTCTGATCAGGACTAAAGTAATGTTATAAACAGGTGAATCTGTTTAAATGCAGGCAGCAGACTCACTGCTTTTAGCAGGGTCTCACAGAGCCAGAGAGCCAGGGTACAGAACATCGCTGTCTTACCCATAAAACAGGGCTCTGATCAGGGCTAAAGTAATGTTATAAACAGGTGAATCTGTTTAAATGCAGGCAGCAGACTCACTGCTTTTAGCAGGGTCTCACAGAGCCAGAGAGCCATGGTACAGAACATCGCTGTCTTACCCATAAAACAGGGCTCTGATCAGGGCTAAAGTAATGTTATAAACTGGTGAATCTGGCAGCAGACTCACTGCTTTTAGCAGGGTCTCACAGAGCCAGAGAGCCATGGTACAGCACATCGCTGTCTTACCCATAAAACAGGGCTCTGATCAGGGCTAAAGTAATGTTATAAACTGGTGAATCTGTTTAAATGCAGGCACCTGCATTGACACCTCCAGGGCGGAGACCGGGAAAACCACCTCTCTTTGCCCGCTCACAGAGCCCCGAAGGACGGACTAGAGACCTCCAGCAGCAGTCCCTAACAGTGGGACTCTGTTTATTTCACACCTCCAGGGCGGAGACCGGGAAAATCACCTCTCTTTGCCCGCTCACAGAGCCCCGAAGGACGGACTAATGACCACCAGCATGTCCCCCTAACAGTGGCACCTCCATAACCTTGCATACCGTGAGTCCCCGGGCCCCCGCAGTTAAGCACTCCCCCACGGACTAAACCCAGATATTCACACCCTCCAGAATCTCGTGCCCCTGGTAAGACTAACAAGGGGTGGATTTTGTGGTGGTCTACCGTCCGCCCTTAAGCATCCAACTGCGGACTAAACCCAGATATTCACACCCTCCAGAACCTCGTGCCCCTGGTAAGACTAACAAGGGGTGGATTTTGTGGTGGTCTACCGTCCGCCCTTAAGCATCCAACTGCGGACTTCTGACACTCAGACACTTTTCATATTTTTAGGTTACCAAGGGCACGCTTGTCTGGCAGTTATGCACATGGGGTTTTGTCCAAGGCAGTGTGCTTAAGTCAGGGGGCCCGGGGACTCAAGGTGCGCATGGCAGGCCGCCTATGAGCGGCCCAAATGTTTTAATTAACTCGTTATTGTCGTTTTTAGACAGTGTACATTGGACGACATAAACATACGGAGTTATGGACATAAACGTGTCAGTATAGACAGAACAATGTACATATTAATCATATTTAATTTATTAAATGTACAATAAACTAAAATCACTGCTTTAAGCAGAATATCACACTTCCAGGCAGACATACACACACCCAGGGGGGGGAAGAGAACACATTGACCCAGGAATAATTGTCTGAATCATGGGTATATTAGTGTTTAAAGCCGTGGGAAAGGTTTTAATTCAACAGGAGAGGGTAATTCAATTGTTACCCATGGAACAGGGCTGCAAACATGGCTACATGACTGTTAAAAAGCTGTCAAACTGTTTTAATTCAGTCACAATTGTCGTTTTTAGACGGTGTACATTGGACTCAATAAACATACAGAGTTATGGACATAAATGTGTCAGTATAGACGGGATAATGTACATATTAATCATTTTTAATTTATTAAATGTACAATAAACTAAAAACAGCAGAATCACTGCTTTAAGCAGCATATCACACTTCCAGGCAGACATACACACACCCAGGGGGGGAAGAGAACACATTGACCCAGGAATAAGTGCTCAAAACGTGGGTAAAAAGTCGGGGAACATGTTTCAAATGACAGCAGACTGCTGCTTGTTTGCAGGCTGACACAGTTCACTTGTCTCACACACACACCCAGGGGGGAAAAGAGAACACATTGACCCATGAATAAGTGTCTGAATCATGGGCACATTAGTGTTTAAAGTCGGGGAACTGTTTTAATTCAGGACCAGGGTGAAAAGATAACACATTTATCCATGAATAAGTGTCTGAATCATGGGCACATTAGGGTTTAAAGTCAGGTGAACTGTTTTAATTCAGGACCAGGGTGAAAAGATAACACATTTACCCCGCTAAAGTGTTCAAAACATGGGTATATTAGTGCTCAAACTCGATTAAACTGTTTTAATTGCGGAGGTTTTACGTTTTGGTTCACTCGTCTCACACACCCAGAGTGTTAACAACATTTTTTACAAATTTTATAAATTAGTCTAGAGCTCCATCTATTGTAATTTGAGTGTATTACACGTCTGTCCATGGAACGCAAGTTTTGCGCCATTTGAGTGGAGTAAACTGATATGCAGCTGGAGTAACATGTACATTGAGACGCATTGGGACATATCATCGTAACTTTCAATGTTAACCTTGTACATATGAGGCACAATATTCTTACTCTACAAAAACAATGCTTCTCACCGCAAGAACAAGGCTTCTGCACCGACTACAAACAATGACAATTCTTCAAACTGACATCAATCGGAGGAGGAGGTGGAGGAAGAAGGAATTCGGTCGGGGGAGACGGAACCTCTGCCTGCTGCATCTAATCAGGGAAGTGACACACACACACACATCATACAAGCTATTGAGAAATTGGGAAAATTTGGGAAATCTGTTGTTAGAAAGGGTACATATTTGAAATACGGTACTGATACAGCAGCATTTAAGAAATGTCCCACTCTAACTTTAGCTATAATGGGTGTTGATGTCACATTTTTGGTTGATTCAGGAGCTACACATTCTGTGGTAAAATTGGCAGATTTGCCTGGTTGTAAATGTAGTGGTAGATTTATTCACTCAATAGGAGCGGCTGGAGTGACTGTAAAGGAGAAGTTTTCTGTACCACTTCAGTGTAAAGATAATGGTGATGCCAGTCATCCATTTCCCACATCAGTCAAACACAGTTTCCTTCTATCATCTGTCTGCCCAATACATTTACTGGGCAGAGATCTGATTCTCCGGTTGGGCTTAGACCTCATTTCCACAACTGAGGGTCTCGTAGTCCGACGGCCATCACCTGCGATGGTTCAAAAACTTTCATTTGATGATAAGGATCTGTTGAATGTGTGCGAATGGCAGCTAACATCTCCTGATTCTCAGGAGTTGTTGCGGTTGACTCATCAGCGTGTTTTTCCACCTGCGGTGTTCATGGAGGCTTCTCATTTGCATTGTACTGCTAACGTTGTTGAAGATCAATGTAAACATTATGAAGAGAATTTTCTGTTGGAATGTGTGAATGATGAGCTCATGCTTAAAGCTATGTATTGGAGTTGTTGGAGCAGAACACCTCTGCTACGCGCCGTTCATTGGATGAGGCTGGATCTCTATTAAATTAAGAAAGGAATTGAAAACACCGGAATCAAAGTTATAACAAATTATCTGAGTTTACTTCTAGTAGGAAACCAAACACATATACAAGTTATACAGAGTACTCGAGCACTCCGGGCTTCAGGTTTGTGACGCGGTTTTACAGGTAGACAGACCAGCTTTCAGAAAACGAGAAGTATGGACTCCAGGTTTGTGATGCGGTTTACCGTCTTCTAGCACCAGCTTTCAACAAACCAGAAGCATTTTTACACTCAAAAACATCAGTATTCATATCTATTTTTGGGGCGGAGATCAGTTTACTCCTCCTTCCCATTTTCCTCCCAAGCGAATCAGAGTTCCGTGAGGAGGAGCTGTGTAAGCTGATCACCTCCCCCAAGTGTCCTGACTGGCTGGATTCCCTTCTGGTCTGGTTCAATCAGAGTTCAGACCATAAAGTTCCATAAGGTCAAAAGTCAACCTCTATCTGCGATTAGAATCTTAACTTCATTTCTTTCCCATGAGTTCTCCACATATTTAACGATGTCTTTTAACGACTTAAAAAACAACATCTGGTCTTAGCGGTGATAAGGAGCGATGTAATGTTGTCTTTAACGACCTTAATGACGACATCTGCTTTTAGGGGTGAACCCAGGCAAGGTGTGTGTATACACAGAATCTCTGGGTCAGTGAGTTTAAAAGTGAGAATAACATTCTTTTTCTAAGTGATTATCAAAACCCGTTTGTGATTACCTAAAACAATTCAAACAATACATGTTTACTTCAATACAGTGTAGAATCATATCTTTTTACTTCAGAGTGCGCTGCACAGTGCTATTTCTGTTACACTCACACCCACACAACACAAGCTGTATCAAATCCCAGGGGCGGTCCCACACATTTCACTAGCCAGGGGGCCCACTGATAGATGGAGGGATTTGGGTCCAATCGTTAAAGACTGGGAATATATTACTGATTGGACTATCACTGATGACCCATTAATTGAGTATTCCTCATCAGGTGACGTGTTTAAGTACATCATTAACTGCTCAGTTCATGCACTGCGTTCTCTGGTTCCCACAGGCAATGATGATTATGTTAACCCTGGTTCTAGCCCATCTGACCTGGAGTTCTCATGTTTCACTCATGTTTCTGATCTCCCTGCCGCGTTAGAAGAAGTGCCTATAACGCTGTGGGCTGCTCACAAATATGATGTAGGTTTGATCCACTCAGCTGAGCCTGTAGTTATCACTCCTAAATCCACGTTCCGCCCTAATCAACCACAGTACCCATTGAAACGTGAAGCTGTTGATGGCATTAGGCCAGTTTTTACCTCTCTGCTTAAACAAGGGGTTATTATTCCATGTAATGACTCCCCGGTACGCACTCCAGTGTTCCCTGTTAAAAAGGTCCGGGACAAGCCTCCGGATGAATGGAGATTTGTCCAGGATTTACGAGCTGTGAATGCGGCTGTTCATGCACGTGCACCGCTCGTTCCAAATCCTTATCTGATTCTTTCCCAAGTGCCTGCCTCTGCAGCATTTTTCACTGTGATAGATCTCTCAAATGCATTTTTCAGTGTTCCTGTACACAAAGATAGCCAATTTTGGTTTGCATTTGAATATGATGGTAAACCTTACACATTCACATGTTTGTGTCAAGGCTACTGTGAGTCCCCTACTGTGTACAACCAAGCATTGTGTACAAGTTTGGCCTCTCTGCAAGTTTCAAAAGGCACTGCACTCATACAGTATGTCGATGACATTATGATTTGTGCACCCACAGCTGAACAATGTGAAGTTGACACTGTTGCTTTGTTAAAACACCTCGCAGCGGAGGGCCACAAGGCCAGTTTGTCTAAACTCCAATATGTACAAAGGACAGTTACATTTTTGGGTCATGTCATTTCAGGTGAGGGAAAAACGCTTTCAGATAAGCGCATTGCATCATTGGCAGCTTTGCCAAAACCTGTCACTAAACGACAAATGATGTCATTTTTAGGTATGTGTTTATACTGTAGGTCATTCATTCCAAACTATTCTCCACTCGAACTGCCACTCCGTATTATTACGCATGTCACTGGTTTGAAACCTACAGGTCACCTTACGTGGACACCGGAAGCCGATCAAGCCTTCATTAACATGAAGCTGGCTCTCCAATCCCCCACACTAGGTCTACCTGATCACACTAAACCTTTCACTCAGGCAGTGGATGAGCGAGATGGGTGTATGACCTCAGTTCTCCTTCAGGATCATGGGGGAAAACAGAGGCCTGTTGCCTATTTCTCCTCCAAGCTAGATCCTGTAGCTGCTGGCCTGCCAAAATGTCTCCGTGCGGTTGCTGCTGCTGAAAAGGCTCTCAACTCCTCACATGACATTGTTGGTTATGCACCTTTGACTCTGTTGGTTCCACATGCTGTGTCTCTCATCCTCTGTGAACAGAGAACATCACACCTCTCTGCTGCACGTTACCTGAGATATCACACATGCCTGTTAGACATGCCTAACGTCCATGTCAAAAGGTGTAATACCCTGAACCCTGCCTCTCTCATGCCTCTACCTCACGACGGTGACAAACACGACTGTGTCGCCGAGCTGCTAATTGTGTGCACACCAAGACCTGACTTAAAAGACGTTCCACTGACAAATTCTGACCTCATTTTGTATGTTGATGGGTCTGCCTCTCGCGACCAAGGGGGCACTAATCGGGTGGGTTTCTCTGTTGTTTCAGATTCTGCTGTACTCTGTTCCGGCCCACTCCCATGCCACCTCTCAGCACAGGCAGCAGAGCTCATCGCACTTACAGAAGCCTGCACGTTTGCAAAGGGCAAAACTGTAACTATCTATACTGACTCACGATATGCTTTCGGGGTAGTACATGATTTTGGGGCTATTTGGAAGTGTAGACAATTTCTGAAGTCTGATGGCAAGCCAGTACTTAACCATGTACTTATTACAGGCCTATTGGACACCATTCTGCTCCCGTTTGAGGTTGCAGTCTGTAAATGTGCCGCACACACAAGCAGCACAGACTCTGTTTCCCTAGGAAATGCGTCTGCTGACTCAGCTGCAAAGGCAGCTGCTCTGATTCCTCTTGCACCCCACGCACACTCATTTGTTAAAATTCCTGTTTCCTCCCTGACTGATAACATGTCATCACTGTCTTCCATGCAGCAGCTCGCCCCACCGGTTGAGAAGGCTCAGTGGAAGGCTGCTGGTGCTGTGTTTGACCCAACCGCCAGCATCTGGGTTGGTCCAAATTGCAATCCATGTCTTCCTAGGCATTTCTTCCCTCATTTTGCTAAGTTGACACATGGGTTAGATCATGTGTCAAAAGGAGGGATGTTAGAGGCTATCAATCAGGCATGGTTTACAAGGGGGTTCACAGTAACAGCTCAAAAGCACTGTGAAGCATGCTTAATTTGCATTACAAAAAATTCTGGCAGACCGGTAAAGGTTACAGGATCAGGAGCACATCCACCTCCCACCAGACCATTTGAGCACCTAATGCTGGATTTCATTGAGCTTAGTCCATCAGAGGGTAAGAAACATTGTCTTGTGGTGGTTGACATGTGGTCCAAATGGGTTGAAGCTTTCCCAGTAAAAGCACAGACAGCAAATGCTGTGGCAAAGGCATTACTGAGGGAAATCATTCCTAGATGGGGAATACCAGATAAAATCTCTAGCGACAATGGTTCACATTTTGCTAATGAGGCCATTGCACAGATAGGAGAATACCTGGGCATGGACATCAGAAAGCATTGTGCTTACCATCCACAGAGTGGGGGGGCGGTGGAAAGAGAGAACGGCACAATTAAAAACAAGCTAGCAAAATGCTGCGCAGACACAGGTCTGTCGTGGACACAGGCTCTGCCCATTGTGCTGATGTACATGAGGATGCGGAAACGAACACGAAGCCAACTCAGCCCATTTGAAATCCTTTTTGGTGCTCCTCCACAGATTGGAATCAAGGCTCCAGGATATCCTCTCCCCTCCACAACTTTGTGTGAGGATGCTATGTTGTCATATTGTGTTAACCTGTCATCCGCTTTAGCAGATATCAGACGTCAGGTAGCAGCAGCTCTACCTACTCCTGCTACTGGTCCACTTCATCGTCTCCAGCCTGGCGACTACGTGTTGGTCAAGGACTTCCGGAGAAAGAGCTGGAAATCCAACCGTTGGCAAGGTCCCTATCAGGTGCTTCTCGTCACCCAGACAGCGGTCAAGGTCGCCGAGAGAGCCACGTGGGTCCACGCCAGCCACTGCAAGGTCGTAGTCACAGGCCAGGAGAAACGGTAGAAGCAGACAACGACAAGTGACGTGCCAAGTCACCACCAACACTACATTGCACCACATACACCTGACTTTCACACTACACGCACACACAGGGTGACATGAGTGAGTGCCAGTTGGGCTGTTTCATATGAATATATATATATATATAAACAACTAGTTTTACCATTTTCTGAATTTTTGGATCCATCAGTAAATATCTGTATAAACTGCCCATATTGTTCATACATTAATTTTGTTTTTCATTGAATGTAACCGTTTCAATAAAGATAAATCTACTATAGGTTGAGGTAGCAACCATGGTGGAACACCTGATAACAACAGTGTGCAGAGTTTAAAGCGATCAAGTCATATTAGAGGATAGAGGAAATACAGAAAAACTGCCGTTGCAGGAAAGACGGCCGGCCAAAATCACCGACTGTGTGAACGTGAACATTAATAGAATATCCCCTCCCATTTTAAGAGCAATCTGACTATTATAATATTATTATTATTATTATTATAAGCAACACATTAAGTTGACGAAACACTCGAGTCAAATGTAATTAAAGTCAGATCCACTCGTGTCTTAGACGGGGCAGTCAGAGCCGGCCCGACCCATTAAGCGACATAAGCGGCCGCTTAGGGCCCCGCAGCCACTAAGGGCCCCCTAGCAAAAAATGAAAAAAAAAAAAAAATGGAAAATCTGTTAATATGCCTAGATTGCCTACTCTCAAAGTCATGTATTATGTTATTGAGTCAATCATATAATACATTAACCGTGCTTTACCTGAACCTCATCATGACACTAGAGAGGACGGCAGGATTGTAATTTCCCGTGTTCAGTGAATGCAACAGAGGCAAGGCACCAGACCAACCAGAGAGTTGAAATAAACATCTGTCTTATTGGCTGACAGGTACCTATCCTGTGAGCTGTGACAATGTTTAAAATAAACTGTCAGTCAGACTCAGAGTTTTTGAAGATGGACATAAGAACATTTGTTCTTAAAAAAGATGACAATTCTCAAGTGGTGGTTCACACAACAACCGCAGAGCCAGCACTTGAGCCAGGAGAAATTACAGCTACGTTGACGTTACTTTGAATCGTGGGGGTAAGCTAAACCGTTAGCAAGTAGCTATAGCTAGCCAGATATATTAAATAAACACTTTTTCATACAATCTAAATGTAATGTTTTTTAGCGTTACCTGGTGATTTAAAAGAAAGCTCTCTGGGAAATGTTGACTTACTGTTCGACATGAAGCTAGAAGCTACCTTACAGTACACAGTTGATCCTGAGTCCTGTCAGTTCAAGTGTTTCATAGTTAGCTTAGCTAAGCATCAACCGAGCACTGAAATATATGGATGTTATGTGACAGTATTTCTGAGAAAAAGTCAGCTGAAATGGTGGCATAGTTGCCACTGCTTTACGTGTCGACAGCATTTTTTAACCAACCTGGTCTCACCAGAATGCGTGACTCCACCACGACTCCTTAACACCGCAGTGCGTGGTGGAGTCACGAACTTTGCTAGATTTACATGTCGGCACCACGCAAACAACCCCAATGTAAAGTGAATGAGGCTCCTTTGTCGTGGTGCACACACGCATTTCTACAACGTCCCGCAGTGAGCTTTTATTCTATAAAACGTTTTTAAAATCTACTTTATAGCTTGTAGTAACTCACAGGAGGCTTCTTTTATTTTATTTGTATTCATAATAATTTTTATTTTTCGTCAGAATGTATTCTGGTGCATTAGTTACGAATTTTTGTTCTCAAAAACAGTGCAGTGTAATACAACTGTGATTTTTATTAAATTAGTTAGTTTTTAAGGAAGGCCAGAGCTTCAGCTATGTCAAATAGATTGTTCCCTTTAGTTAACGTTATTTAAAAGATAATGATATTCCTATTTGATCAAGTCCCCTTTATTGTATTACGGACCCAAAGAGCAATGTGAGCGTCCATTCCCATTGGATAACGGAGGATTTTACACCCGGAAGTAAGTATTCTCCTTACTGTCGATTGATTTGACAGTGATATCTGCACTACTCATCAACTAAAAAACACCAGATTATCCTTGTTAATTACACAACATTGATTGGTTTAAATTGTGTACAATGCTTTTGTATTTTTCCCCTTCGATTCGGAGAAACAAATATTTTTTCGAAGTTTAGGATGGCAGAAGACACTACACTACCCAGAATCCTCAGCTATCGTTTAGGACTACACCATGTGCTTTGTTTGACAAACCCCGTGATTCGTTATCAAGCTCTGTGATTGGTTGACCTCCAACTGCATTCCATATGAAAAAAAAAACGTTTCGTAAAAGATAAAATCATACTTTATTCAGCAGTGCTTGCTTTACTCTTTGAAAGTCATCACATGAATGCATTGTAATGAATGGTTTGGCTGCATTAAACATTACACATCTGTCGTAGTTCTTTATTTATCTACAGAGATCGGGCCTCAGAATAGACCGGAAACTATTCTTTTACCGTTCTGTTTTAATTTCACAATAAAGTTAGTAGTAATAATTTGTTTTGATATTATTGTTTTTTATTAACTACTAGACCGCTGGGTCATGTTAAGACCATCTTTTCTGTGTTGCTGTGGGTTTTTTACATCGCTTTTGTGTTACAAATATCAAAACAATAACAGAATATATCCGTCGTAAACTAAACCAGAAACAGCAGTATATTTTATTTTGTTAACACTGTAAACTTGACAGCTTTTTAACCCGCACCTCCTACTGGTTAAAGCACGTTATTACACGTTTAGAGTAATGCAATGCAGGTAGATTGTGTTGCTTTTTAATGACTGTTTTAAAATGCCTTTTTCTTAATGTCTTTCATTTTTGTAAAGCACTTTTGAATGTGTTATATTTGATGAAAACATTTAAATATTAAGAGTACATTATACTCTTAATATAGTGGGAAAGTGGAAGGTCAATGATATGAATAATATAGAATAGAAAATATCAAGAAGATACTGTAAGTGATCCCTACAATAAAACAGTTTAGTGCCTGATAGGAGGATGTGCAAAACAGACAAACTAATAAGGCTTTATTTAAACATTAAAGAATACTTTAGGTTAAGGTCTTCTTTTAAATAAGAAAAAAGCTTTGGGGGTATCTACAGATATTAAGCCTGACAAAGTACTTAACGTCTAATATATTGCATGGTTTGTTTTGGAACTTGACAATCAACTTTCCTGCAATGTTAACTATGTTGAAGCACTTATTTTAACTGATATTATACATATTAATTATACTCTTATAAGATGTATGTAGATAGTATAAGAAAGGTGCAGAATATGTTTAATGGTGGAGGTACACAGATATCGATAGATGTCTTGTAATGCACTGTTGAGGAACCTGTGACCCAAGTTTTTCATTCATTGCATAACTACACCGTAGTTGTGTATATGATATGTCAATAAACCTTAGAAAATCTTGAAATCTTGAAAGGGATGTGCAAAATAGCCATTATATACAGTTTTTAATGAACTATTAGTAGAGAATAACGAGTAATGAATATGCTTTATAGGGATCTGCAGATAAATATTTAGTCTTCTCAAGCACCCACTACCAAATATCTCGCCTGATTGTTGGCACTTGACAATCACCTTCACTGAATTTTGCTCAGGTGTAACTTAAGTCTGATTTAAGGGTTGTTTATATTTCACATCATTAATCAGAATCTGTAAAGTAACTAAAATAAATGTAGTGGAGTAAAAATACCAGGTTAACCTTAAAGAAAGCCTTCAGGATTATAAAAGACCCCCATCACCCCAGCCACAAACTGTTCTGTCTGCTGCCTTTCTGGCTGGCGGTACTGCAGCATCCGGACTAAAACCACCAGACTCAGGGACAGTTTCATCACACAGGCCAGAAGACTATTAAACACCTGAACTTTGAAACAACATCCATAACATTCATCTGGCTGCTACTTAGAAATTATTTATCTAATATATCATATTCCAATCACTTGTATATAGACTCTTATTGCACTATTTCACTTTTTACTATTTTTCTTTTTGTATTTACTTGCACAATTTTTTCTGTGTATCTGTTTTATTGTGTTGCACTGTTGGAGGAGCCTGTGACCTAAGGGGGCGGTTTGTCAAGCATGGTGTAGTCCCATAGCTGAGGATTCTGGGTAGTGTAGTGTCTTCTGCCATCCAAAAACTCAGCAAAGATATTTTTTTTTCTCCGAATCGAAAGGGGAAAATACAAAAGCATTGTACACAATTTAAACCAATCAATGTTGTGTAATTAACAAGGATAATCTGGTGTTTTTGAGTTGATGAGTAGTTCAGGCCCTTTGTTTTGTTTAATGTATACCATGTTTATCTAGGCCCTTTTTGTTTTATGTATATATGTCACACTGTAGGACTGCGGGAAATGATATTTCGATATTTCTGGATGTACAACATGTAGAATTATTGACAATAAAGCTGACTTTGACTTTGACTTTGACCCTGAGATATATATATAATTAACAAGGATAATCTGGTGTTTTTGAGTTGATGAGTAGTGCAGATATCACTGTAAAATCAATCGACAGTAAGGAGAATACTTACTTCCGGGTGGAAAATCCTCCGTTATCCAATGGGAATGGACGCTCACATTGCTCTTTGGGTCCGTAATACAATAAAGGGGACATGATCAAATAGGAATATAATTATCTTTTAAATAACGTTAACTTTAAAAACTAACTAATTTAATAAAAATCACAGTTGTATTACACACAATGCACTGTTTTTTGAGAACAACAATTGGTAAATAATGCACCATAATACATTCTGACGAAAAATACAAATTATTATGAATACAAATAAAATAAAAGAAGCCTCCTGTGAGTTACTACAAGCTATAAAGTCGATTTTAAAAACGTTTTATAGAATAAAAGCTCACTGCTGGACGTTGTAGAAATGCGTGTGTGCACCACGACAAAGGAGCCTCATTCACTTTACATTGGGGTTGTGCATGGTGCAGACACGTAAATGTAGCAGAGTGCGTGACTCCACCATGCACTGCGGTGTTAAGGAGTCGTGGTGGAGTCACGCATTCTGGTGAGACCAGGTTGGTGAATACAGTCACTGGTTTATTTATGTCTGTATAGGCCGTTGTTGTGAGTGTGGACGGTC